CTCTCTCTCTCTCTCTCTCTCTCTCTCTCTCTCTCTCTCTCTCTCTCTCTCATTCTCATCAGAACATTCCTTCTTTCTGTTTCTGTGTTTGTCACTCTCTTGTAACACCTCTAATCTTTGACACTTAATGACCTAATTGTTGCAAGTGCCGTAAAACTCTTACTAAAACATAACAACAAAACAAATAAACGATCAAACCACGTCTGTGGGTGGTTGGCAGGTGCTGTGGTGTGATTTGCTCCTTCTTTCCTATCCCACATCTATCGTCCTTATCTCTCTTCCTTTTTTTTTTGTGTATGTTACTCTCTTGTAACACCTTTAATCTTCGGCACGTATATGACCTTATTGTGTTGCAAATGCCGTGAAACTCTTACTAAAACATAACATCAAAACAAATTTAAATAAACCAACAAACCACCTGTGTTTCCATCTCAATCGTCTTTATATCTCCTCCTCTTTCTCTTTTTGTTTCTGTCACTCTCTTGTAACTCCTACAATCTTCGAAACTTACATGGCCTTGTGTTGCAAGTGCCGTAAAACTCTTACCTAAACTAAAGCTAAACCTTCTTTGTTCTCTCTCTCCCACACAGGTGTCTTTGAACGGCCTGGAGGTGCTGTGTCTGATGGTGGACCGCATGGGGGAGCAGTTCAAGCCTCACGTGACCACCGTGCTGCCGCCCGTCATAGACAGGCTGGGAGACGCCAAGGACCAGGTCCGGGATATGGCGAAGCAGTTGTTGTTGAAGCTTATGATGCCGGCCTCTACTCCACAGGTGAGATAGGGAGAGAGAGAGGGGGAGGAGGGAGGGACATGGTGAAGCAGTTGTTGTTGAAGCTTATGATGCCGGCCTCCACTCCACAGGTGAGATAGAGAGAGAGAGGGAGGAGGGAGGGACATGGCGAAGCAGTTGTTGTTGAAGCTTATGATGCCGGCCTCCACTCCACAGGTGAGATAGAGAGAGAGGGGGAGGAGGGAGGGACATGGCGAAGCAGTTGTTGTTGAAGCTTATGATGCCGGCCTCCACTCCACAGGTGAGATAGGGAGAGAGAGAGAGGGGGGGAGGAGGGAGGGACATGGTGAAGCAGTTGTTGTTGAAGCTTATGATGCCGGCCTCCACTCCACAGG